CAACAGCAGCAACAAAAACAGTATGGTCCTTTTATTTTGGCAGCTCTCTTCACCCATTGGTGTAAATCTTGCATGAGTCACATTACAATTCACTTTAATTTATCATAATTTATCACATGATAACTGCACTCTGTGTAGCTGTGAAGATAGTTTTGTGTAAAAGGCAATAAATTTATGTTAATCACAATGATTGCAGGTGGTTGAACCAGCCCTTCATCATATCCATGGAGAAGTCAGAGACACTGCTGTTAATGTGATTTTTGAAATGTACAAAAAGGTAAATTGAGTTTCCTTATTCAACACTATTTGCTAGTTTGGGTTATTCAATATATGTTTATTGTACTGATGGAAAATTATTGTGATCATAGTAATGATGGTGATAAATGATGTTGAAGGTGGTGATGGTGATGTTGATGATGATGGTGGATGATGGTGGTGATGATGGTGATGATGGTGATGATGGTAATGGCAATGTTGATTGTGATGGTGATGATGTTGATGTCAATGATGTTGATGAATGATGTTGATGATGTTGATGGTGATGTTGATGAATGATGTTGAAGGTGATGATGTTGATGGTGATGATGTTGATGAATGATGTTGAAGGTGATGATGTTGATGGTGATGATGTTGATAATGATGATGTTGATAATGATGATGTTGATGATGATGATGATGTTGAAAATGTTGGTGATGATGATGTTGATGATGTTGATGATGTTGATAATGATGATGATGGTGATGATGATGGTGATGACAATAACCCTGATGACGATTTTGATTGATTGATTTTTTGGTGCTAAAATTTGAATGATAATGATGATGAATGAATGATGATACATTCTTAATATTATCCCTTCTCAGGTTGGTGAGCCAATCAAATCATACCTCCCACCCGATGAACCAGCCACAAGAAAGAATCCATTATATCGATCAATATTTGATGGCTTCGACAAAATTGATGGCAAACCAACCGAATCAGAACGACGAGTAAGTATCCACGGTAACTGGGGCCTTTTTTGGGTGGGTGGGTGGGGTAAGGTCAGGGGGCAATGTTGGTGGTTTTTAAAAACCCTTTCATCTTGGGGCGTAATGTTTTCCCATATCAGACCCCATGTCATTCCCTAGAATATCATTTCTTTGTTTAATGGGTGTGCATCTGAAGACACCTGAATATTGATATGACTCAAACAAATAATCTTAATCTCAAGAGAATGACACATGGTCTGAAATGGGAAACATTATATGTCTATGRTAAGGAGTTGGTTACTGCTCTCTTTTCCAGGCACAAGCCAAAATTGACAGGAAAAATGCTGAGAAGAAAAAGCAAGCGGAGGTAAAAATAAATCATGTGTACTCCAATTTACTTTGATGAATGTGCTAATTTTAGTTTATTTCGTCTTTTGTTGCTTTTGGTATTTGTAAGCATTTAATAATAATAATAAT